TTTCCTAATGGAAACCAAGTCTCCAAAAAAAGGGTGCGGGGTTAAGAAGCACTTATTCAGACCATTAGGGCACAGAAAATTATTCTGAGTGTATCACTGTAGGTGAATCAGGGTTGATCCCTGTCAGAGGACACAAGACCCAGTAAAGTGGACTAATCTTAGAGAGCTGAGGGCCTGACTTGCCCAAGATCACACATCCTGCTAGTCAGAGAATCATGGCCTGGGGGAGGAGTGGAGGTGAAGGGTCTGCTCTGGAGATTCTGGTTTAATCCTAGTTCTCTGGAGAGATGAAAGTCCAGGTATGACTCCTGGTAGGGGCCTTTGGGGGTTGGGCCCCAAGCTTGAAAAGATTTCCAGAACCTACTGTTGCCTCTTTCCTTCTCAGACTGGCTCGCTCCACTCTGGTTTAAAGGAACTCTTCCCTCTAGGGAGGAGTGAGGCTACCTCCATGATGCAAGGCGGTACCCTACCCTCTGGGAGTGAGGGTGGGAAGAGGAAGGAGCTGAATTGCTAAGAACACTCCCTAGGGCAGTTTTTAGCTGTCCTCCCGACGCCCTGGAACATGTTCCCAGTGTGCATCCTGCCATCAGGGGAGGCCCCCTTCTGAGAAGGGTCCCATCTGTTTGTCTGTCTTCTCCTCCTTCCACAGGACCTCAGGCCCATCCTCTCTGCCCCAAGAAGGCTCCTCACCAGGGCTTGGATTCTTGCTAATAAAACACCAAGAGAAAAACCTTATTGGCTTAGACCCATAATTTACAACCTGTCGTGCCTTTAAAACTGGCTGAACTAAAATTACCTTTTTTAAAAAAAGTTTTTTGTTGTGGGGGGAAAAAAACCACTTTGAAAAGTGAAGAGGATAATTTAATAAATCTCCCATGTATCCACCATCTAGCTTTAAAAATTACCAAATCATATCCAGTCTGTATTCATTTCCCCAAACCCTGATTTATTTTAAAGCAAATCCTAGACATGTCATTTTATCTGTAACTATTTAGGTTTGTATTTCTAAAACAAGCTGAAAATCTGTATGATTTCTAAAAATTAACAATTAATAGGATCAAATATCTAGTTAGTGTTCAGTAACCACAGAAGCATTTTTCAGCTAACTATGGACATACGCACCTTCAGGAATTGCAGGTGGGATGTTCTGACTTACTGAAGTGCAGCGCCCACTCAGCAGGTCCGCTGTTCACTATTTTGTGTGAACCTTGAGGATTTTAATTTGTCCACAGGCCAAAATTTGACTGTATTTTGGCAAAGGCTTCTGTCTCCTTTCTACCATCCAAAAGGCAGCACAGGGGACAATGCAGAGAGCCTGGAACCTTTGGGTTCAAACACTGGCTGTGGCTCTTGGAACCTGCGTGACTTGTCGAAGATACTCAGCTCCTCATTCTCAGGGCCCTGGTTGCCAAGGTCATGAGTGATGGGAGGCTTCTTAAAGGTGCTAAATCTCAGAGCTTGTTATCTGCTAAGCACTCCTCAAATGTTAGGTTCTTCCTTAATTGAACTGTTTTCCTTCCCTTTCAGTCTAAGTCAGTGACACTTCTTTAAAAAGGTGAAAAGGACGGGAGCTTCCTGCCCTGGGAGAACTCCCAGCCATGCTTCCGGGTGCCCAGCTCCCGCGCTTCCTGAGTCTCTTGCTTTCCTGCTTAACTCCTTAGGCTGTTGCACAGATGCTCCCTTCCTCCCTCCCTCCCTCTGGTCTCTCCTGGAATCTGCTCTGGGCTTGAAGAATGGTCACTTGGTCCCTGTGGCCCTTGTGTCCCCTGCTTGTCTCCAGCAGCATTAGAGGCGTATCCCCTGTGATGGCTCTGTTTTTAGGGAGCTGCCCCAGGGCCTGGTAACTACCCTGCTGGTCAGGGCAAGCCAGGGGGTCAGAAGCCACAGGGTGCTGGCATCCAGGAAAATAATTAGGCTGGTTCAATGACTGCCTTCATTGCCAGGGACTGGAGGCTTCGTTCTTTCACTCAACAGGTTTATCAGCTCTGGGGGTAGGTGGGCGGTGGCTTGTGAGCCTCTGGGAGTTCTCTTGCTTTTCTGAACAATGGGTGTTGGGGTTTAGGCCCTGCTAGGAGTGTCATGCCTTATTACCTGTAGGGCAAAGGCTCCACTAAAACCTAGTGGAAGCCGATTCCCTGGAGTGCTGGAGGGGCCCTTTGGTTGTCACAGGGAGGTGGAGGTGTGGGGGTGAGACTCCAGGTGTGCTGTTTCCCACGGTCTCCCCACAGTGCAGAAGCCTAACCATTTTACTATCACACGGCTCATTGTCAGCCCTGCCAGCTTCTTCCCCGGCTAGTTTGGACACCTGCAGGCTCCTGGGGACCAGGACAGTGACTGAGCACCAAGGCATGGTAGGCACCCTGCCTGCGTTAAGCCCTCCCAAAAGCCCTGTCAACTTTTCATAGGAGGAAAGTAAGGTACTGAGCAAAGAAGTAGCAATCGGGGTCTCTTAGCTTCCATCCTGATCCTCTAAGCCCGCAGCACACTGCCCTGGCCCAGCTCCCACCGGCCATCACTGGGCATCCAGAAATGCTTGTAAGGTGAACGAGTTACCTGGAGGGTTCTGGAAGGGAGTGCGGGGTACAGTTCCCAACATGGCCCCATATGTTTTGGGCCTGAAAGAAATTAGGTAGCACCGTACTTAATAGAAACCAGGCCAAGGGCTTAAAAGACAAAAGGTTCTTCATGGCCTTTGTTGTGTGTTTGTCAGGGCTGGGGGCTCTGCTGAAAGGCGGTTTGGAGGCCTGAAGGGGCCTGGCTTGGGTTCCCAGGATTGGGTGTGTGTGCCCTAGAGGCGAGTCTCTGCCTATTGGGGGTGGGGGCGGGCTGCCAGGATGTCTTTCCTTTCATTGGTTGGGTGTCCCTGCCCTCCTCCCCCTCCTCCTGGAACATTCCAGACATTCCAGACTGCCATGGCTTTCAGGATATGGATTAACATCCCGAACTGAGATTTGATTTCACCACCCCATCCCCTCCCAACTCCTCCCTACCCAGAAAAGAAAGCCCCTAAAACTGCGAGTTTCAGTAGGAAAAGGATATTTTTGACCTTTGACCTGAGGTTACAGTGAACTTTGGCAGGCGGCTGCTTTAAGCCTTTACTGGTTTGAACTCCCAGGAAGACAGCCGCCCACCTCCCTGCTGTCCTTCCAGAAGAGTTCATTCAGGGGGAGGTCCTCCCTTAGCTTGGTTGAGCCCTGTTACTAGCATTGAGGGAGGTCAGTGTTCCCTTCCGATGGTGTAATCATCTCTTCAGTTTTCCAAGAGTTTGGCTTTCATTGTGAGGGTCCCTGAATTTCTTTGCCCATTCCATCACAATCTCACATGAGTTGTGTGGAAAATCCCAAACACCATGTCATTGCACACGCCATGGGGCTCCCTCTTGACCAGTGAATTGGATCCCAAGCAGCTGGCCTCCTGTGGGACCCGAGGACCTGAACCTGGACTTGTTCTGACCCTTGCTCTTTTGTCCTTACATCTTTAGATGAGGTTCATCAACCAACCGAAGTAGAGCGCATGGACATAGCTTCTCTCCAACCCTCATGCTGCTTTTCCCTTAAGTTAGTTCAACCCAGGAAAAGCTTTCATTAGTGTATTTCACTGATAAAGTCTTTCCACCCTCAAAGCTGCAGAGCTAGAAGGGATCTTAAAGACTCTTCTGTTTCCATTTTACATCCGAAGACACTTGGTCAGAGGAATGAAGTGAGTGAGCTGGCCAAGAGGACAGAGCAAAGATCGAAGCATTTACAGCTAGAGCATCTCTTCCCTTGCTCCCGTGTGTTTTCAGCACCCCTTCCCCTCATTTGGCAAGAGCTGACAGGGGCCCTGTTACCTATCACCCAGGAGACCTGAAGCTTGAGTGGCTTCGTCAGCACAGCTGATCAAGGGCAGTTTTAAGGGCTAGAACCGAACTTTCTTGCTTCCTAGTTTCATTTTCTTTCCCACCACTAGAATTTTGTTGAACCATGTCCCTGAACTAAGAGTTTGTGATCAAGGATATGCAAAGGCATAAGTGACAGTTGACCCAACGCAGATCAAGTCAATTGAAATGTTTTAAGCCCAGGGATTAGGTCATTGATTTGGGTGGTGAGCAGTTAATTGCTGTGGGAGTCAACCTTGCACCTGAAAGTCTTCTTCAGGGGAAATTACTCAGGGAAAGAGGCATTTGAAAGATGAGGAGAAACTAGTAAACTGGGAGGAGGGAAGGTGGTGGTCACGATGCTGGGTTGTGTGTTAATCACTCTACCTTTATATCCACAGATGCCTGTCATTATACTTTTAAGTACTTACTCCAGGCTCTTTGCTAAGCTTTTGATAATATTATCTAACATCACTTTATACCTCCCTGTGAATAGGTATTATCCCTGTTTTACAAAGGAGAAAACTGAGCCTCAAAGAAGTTAAATAACCTTTTGAAGATCAGTGCTATTAAGTGGAGCAGAGTTTTAAATCCATATCTGTACAAAGAAAGAATTTAGCTGTTGCCTGTTATCCCGCTGTAATTTGTTTGCATATGTGTTTCCCCTAAGAAATTGTGAGCACCTTCAGGCCAAGTACTTTGTCTGTTTTGTTTATCATTATGCCCCGAACATGTAGCGCAAAGTCCAGCATGAAGTAGGCACCAGGTAAAAAGGTATCAGATTAATGATTCATGTGATAATTCATGTTGCTAGCTTTGTATTCCTAGAGCCTGAAACACAGTGGGTGGTAATAGATGGTTACTGGGTGAGAAACCTAAGAGAGAGAAACAAAGCCAATGTGATTTGGGGGGATTATGTTATCCTAGTCTTAGGACATCTGATTTTGGCATTTCTATGTATGGCAGCACTGATAAAATTTTGAGTGAGGCACCCCTACACCAGATCTCTGTTCTCAAAGGTTATCATTCTTAGACTCTGAGACTTTGATGTTGAGCAGAAGGTAGGAAGATAAAGACCGGGACAAGAATGACAGGCCCCTAAAGTATCCAGAGCTGTCATTGATTCTGTCCTCTCTCATTTCAGGAGTCGGAAAATACAGATCCGAAATATTCCACCCCAGCTTCGATGGGAAGTAAGTTAACTGGGGGAAATTCTCAATGGCCCGGGATTGTGGAGACTGGGAAGGAAGTCTGGGCCAGCCTGAGTTGGCAAGGATGGTTGGGGAGGTGTCCTGGTGGTTTGGGGCTGGGCCAGAGATGCTAGTGGTGCTGAGGGGAGGTTGACTGGATCTCATCCTTAACCGGAGACTGCCAGTGCTAGTCCTTTGGCATGTCCCTGTGGGGGGAGGCATTAGGGAGGTGGGAAGGGTTTCCCCAAACCCCAAACCTAGTGATGAGGAGGGATGAGTTAGGGACCCAGGTGGCACAGGTCTGCTTCCAAAAAGGCCCTTAAGTGCCTTTTTGAGCTCAAGTATATTCTGCAAAGAAACCCCCCATAGGTCACTACCATCGTTAGTACCCTGGAAAGGCAAACTGAGCAGAGAGCAGTGCTCCAGCCACCAAAGGCTCTGCTCATGCCCCAGTGCTTTGGGGTGAGAGGTGTCCAGGGGTGGCTGTGTGGGTCCCTGGGATGCTCAGAGAAGCCTTATTCCCTTCTCCCTGCTCCCAGGTACTGGACAGCCTGCTTGCTCAGTATGGGACAGTAGAGAACTGTGAGCAAGGTAAGAGTGGGCAGACGAGGTGGTGCGGTGGAGGGGTGGGTGCTGGAGGAGTTTGCGGGATCTGCTCTCCTTCGTTATCCATTACCACATCTCCCTGGAACACCAGAAGAAGAGAGCCAGGATGCGGAGTGGAGGGAGGTACACTGGAGTGCGGACCTGGACTTGTGGTCCCAGCTTTGGTGCTGCTGCTCATCTCTGCAACGGGTGTCTTCTCTGTTTAATCAGAAAATCAACAAAGTCACTCATTTCCAACATGGGGTCCCCAGGCTCCTGGGCCAACCAAAGTAGATTTTAGAAATAGATTAAGGGTGAAAATTATTCGTCTGCAGCCCTTTAAAGAAAAGCTTCACGATTCTTCTTTTTTTTTTAAAGTGGAATAATCACTGGTTGTCTCTTATTTTTGGAGGAAATGAGCTGAAATAAATTTGGAGTGGTTTTGATTGGACATAAAGTAGAGCTTTGTAATTAAGTAGACAAAATACAATTGGAGTTTGCAAATCTTTAAGAAACCGTTTTAGATAAGATTTAAATATTCATCTCCAAATTCTTTGTGGAAAGGGGCAAGCTGTAAATCATTATAAATGATTAAAATATTTGCCAGCACAAAGGTGTGAGGTGCTGAATCAATCAAACAGGTTCTCTCCTCTGACCCTGTTGCTTGCCTTTTATCATAAATGCCAGGACACAACTGGAAGCATTGATAACCATTGCCCAGTCCCGCACACAGGTTAGACTGACAGCTAAGTTACTCCTGGCAATGGTTGGGAACACATGGGTAGCCCCCCTGGGGGGCCCAGCAGGCTCACCCCGGAGCTATAACACCCCGATCCTCAGGGGAGAGGACAGAATGGGTTTGATCTTGTAACAATGAAGACTTCTAGTCTGCTCAAGTGTTGCTTTCTAAGCAAAGTGTTTTCCATCCACCCTACATGAAATTGGACCTCTTACCGCCACCTCCTTTAACCCTGATTTGTATTTCTCCACAGCGTTTAACCACATGTTACTTTTTTTCAGGGAGAGAGTGACTTTATTTTTATTTTGTTGAAGTATAGTTGACTTATATTAGTTTCAGATTATAGCATAGTGATTCAGTATTTACGGATCATGCTCCTTTCAATGTTATTACACGATAGTGGCTATAATTTTCTGTGTTATACATATATCCTTGTTGCTTCTCTTTTTTATACATAGTGGTTTGTATCACTTAATCCCATACCCCAGTGTGCCCCCTCCTCCCCCCACTTGGTACCATTAGTTTGTGTGTCTGTTTCTGTTTTGCATATACATTTTTTTAGATTCCACATATAGGTGATAACATACAGTATTTGTCTGACTTACTTCGCTAAGTATAATATTCTGTAGGTCCATTCCCATTCCTACAAAAGGCAGAATTCCATTCTTTCTTACAGCTAACGTTCCATGTCTTATACTTTTTTAATATTCTGTAGAATTACAGGATCTGCTTATTATACTTACTGCTATCTCTTCCTAGTCAAATGTGCTCCATGCAGGCAGAAGTTTGTCGGTTTTATTCATTACTGTATTTCCATTTAACTGGAAGAGAATTCTTGCAGAATCTTCCTCTCCACTGATATGGGAGAACTCTACTGATGAGGCCAGAAGGGCTGAGAGTGGTCTGCATTGAGGTTTTGTGGCCACGTGCCTTTATCTTCAAGTGTTGTGGGAGCAGGGGCTTTATTGTCAGTGTCGCCACACCAGGGCTGAGCAGGCCAAGGGGATCCAAAATCACAAGGCAGTGATGCATAAGACAGAAGTTAATTTTATTAATTCAAAATGGGAAGACTGTGTGCCCAGATCAACTGGAATTCTAGTGTCCAACCCAAGTCCATTCTCAAAGTCAGGAAATCCCTTCCCCCAGACCCTGCAGCAGCCATTCCTGTCAACTCATTCAGCTAGGTCACGACACTCTTAAATTTGATCGGCGTATCCTTGAAGATACTCTAAAGTGGATTTGGATGTTCCACAAGTGTCTTCAGCCATTTCTTGGTTCAATCTCACTCTATGTGTTTTTTCCAACCAAATTTAACTTTCCAAGAGTGAATTTTATCTCCTGGGTTGGGTGTGCCTGTGTGCCTGTGTGTGTGTTTTCTCTCTGCTGCACCCTTCTGTATGCCTAGCTCCCTTGGAGGCTGGTAGGAAATCAAAGGAAGGCATATAAAGGAAAATGCTAGGCTGATTTGAATTTTCCAAGAGTTCCAGTAAAAGGGGCTTAAAGCGGGAAATGTTCTGGTTTGTCATTGAGTATTTCCCTCTTGACTTTGTTGCACAACCTGCGCAGATGAGTTTGTTTATTTTTAATCATCAACACCCATCTCCAGATCTCACTTCTCTAACCTTGATCTCTGTTCTGTTCCCCTAGTGAACACTGAGAGTGAGACCGCGGTGGTGAATGTCACCTATTCCAACCGGGAACAGACCAGGCAGTGAGTGCACCCAAAAGTGATTGGGGAGGGTCTTTGTTGGGAGCCAGGCACCCCTGTTTGGACAGGGAGGGGGTCCGTGTAGGCAGGAGTCACCATGTTGGCTCTGATTTTGTTGCAACCAACCCCAGACTCTTATCTTTTGGTTCAGGGATCTCAAAGGTTCAGAAACTCACCAGGAGGATTGACAGCAAATATCAATCCTTTGAAAGTAGGGGCCCAAAGACCTCCCAGGGAAGGTGGGAAATCCTCGTCAGAAAAAAATACTGGCTTATGATAGGTCCCTGGTTGCCAGAGAACTATAGGGTCCTTTACCGTGTTGATATCGCCATCTAGTGGTAGTGAGGAGGAACTGCGAGGTTTGTTATGATGTGGTGCAGGCAGACATTTTATCGCACGGTTCCACCTAAGTCCAGTTTAACTTGCTTAGGGTCCTGTTAGTCCCAGCATACCCATAATTTCTGGTTCCTTAGCAGTTTGGTTGAGCAATCACACTTCTCCACCCTGTGGTGCTGACAGACTTGTGCATTTTGTGTGCTGATCTATATTCTGTCAGGCCGTTTGCCACATTTAGTTTTGAAGGGTCTATGACCTTAGCCTGGTTTTAAGTCAACACTTGCTTACTTCCTACTACATATTGTTACCTTGTTAACATTTCTAACCAGCATCTCCCCTGGGAGTGGATGGTGCTTGTCCCCTCCCTTTACTGTTAATCCTCCCGTTTTGCAGACATCCCAGATATACTTAAACGCCTGCTTCCAACTGGTAAGCAAGCCATTCTGCTCCACCTCTTCTGTTTCCATGGAGTTTGCTTAAACATGGAAGGTACTTGACTCAATAGGTGTAAAAACAACAAATCTCTTCAGTTTATTCATTTATTTAGTGTGAACCACATGCGACTCTCACATAAATCCAATATAGTAGGTCCTTCTGGCTGAAATTAACAAGTCAGCCACAAAATGCAATGGAAATAACATATTTGTGTTACATAATACCTTATTTGATGTTCTGTGCCGTTTAGACTGGAAGGTTCTTTAGGTGGTGGGCAGGTGGTCATCTCCCCTTGTAGTGTGTTCCATCTTGGAACCCAGCAGAGTGCTTTACACGTGGAGGGCATTTGGTGTGACTGGCGTGACTTGAAGTGACCAGTAGATTCTCCCTCTGTCCTCAGAGCCATCATGAAGCTGAACGGCCATCAGCTGGAGAACCACGCCTTGAAAGTCTCCTACATTCCCGATGAGCAGATAGCACAGGGTCCTGAGAACGGGCGCCGAGGAGGCTTTGGCTCTCGGGGTCAGCCCCGCCAGGGCTCCCCTGTGGCAGCAGGGGCCCCGGCCAAGCAGCAGCAAGTGGACATCCCCCTGCGGCTCCTGGTGCCCACCCAGTATGTGGGCGCCATCATTGGCAAGGAGGGTGCCACCATCCGCAACATCACAAAACAGACCCAGTCCAAGTGAGTCTTGAATGCCGGGGGGGATGAAGGTGGGGGCAGGAAACAGTGGTTGGTACCCGGGAGGCAAGGCACCTCCCTTTACCCTTCAGAGATGTTGCCTGGAACGTGTTCCATTCTCCTTTCAGTCAGGGGTCACTGCTTCTGATTGCAGCCTTCCAAGAAGAGATGGGCAACTGGGGAGGTAGAATAAGCCTGGAGTGTGCCATTTGGTGGCAGTGGCGGGGCCACACACTGTCATTAGTAAGAAGGGTTCTATTTCTCGTAGAAAGTCTAACCAAGCAAACCTAGTCTTGGTAAGTCAGCCACTCCTTAGTGCTTTGTGGTTTTAGCACCGCTTACGGGTGGCAACAGAGCTGGCCAGCCTCGGGGACCTCATAATTCTTTCCTATCTCCCATTCCACCACTACCACTCCTCTTCTCTGGTTTTTATAGCTTATCAGTGTGTACTCTGTGAAAAAGAACAGGTCACATTATGTCCTTATTCATAATGCATGCTTTTATTATTTACTTTTAATTTGGGACAACGTGCGTTCCCTTTATAGTTGTTTCAAGGTGGGGGAGGGGGACCAGAATTCAAGGGGAAATGCAGCTTTTGAGCTGTGGGGCTGTTGATCCACAAGCCTGCATTCCCATAATAGATGCCATCATTCTCAGCCATCACCTCCTGATTAAGACAGAATCCATAGCAACATGCTGGCCCTTTCTCTGCCAATCCCACGTCTGCACTTGGCCTTGTTCCAAGGAGAGCGGGTTTGCACCTGTGGCGGAGGAGAGACAGCAGGGGGTGTGAAGAGTGTCCTGGTTTTACCAGGGACAACTAACCATCTGTGTGCTTGTGGCCCTCAGGATCGACGTGCACAGGAAAGAGAACGCAGGCGCTGCTGAGAAGGCCATCAGCGTCCACTCGACCCCCGAGGGCTGCTCCTCTGCCTGTAAGATGATCTTGGAGATTATGCACAAGGAGGCAAAGGACACCAAAACGTAAGGCTTCAGCTTCTCTGGGAACGTGGGGACTACCACCTTCTCTAACACAAACTTTTTTTAAGCAAGAATACAGAGATAAATAGGAGATGCAGAAGTTGTACAAAAGGATAGAAGACTGAGAAATGAAGTCCTCTTTCCCACAAATAGCACCTTGTGCATCTAGCAGTTCTGTGCACTCACAGGTGTGTGTGCACGTGGGTGTGGGTGTGTTTTAGCACCTGTAGGAGTATATGAACATGCTGTTCCTTAGCTGGCTTTTTTCACTGCCATGCGTCAGTACATAGATTCACCTCTTTATGAGCTGCACAGAATTCTGTAGTCCATTTGAAAGTATGCAGTTGGATGAGGTTTAGTATAAGTATACCTACAAAGCCATCACTACAATTAAGATAAGGACCATATCCATCGCCCTCATAGACTTTGTGCCCTCAGCCACCCAACCCTCCTTCCCCATTTCTCTGTCACTGAATGACCACTGATCTGCGGGTTTTCTCTGGTAATTGTGTCCCATGGTTTGTCCTGGAAACTCCCACATCTGCGGTGGCATGACAGCCCAGCCTTGGTGTGGCCCCCCGTTTAAGGAGCTCTTGTCCCTCCCTTCTTCCCAAGGGCTGACGAGGTTCCCCTGAAGATCCTGGCCCATAATAACTTCGTGGGGCGTCTCATTGGCAAGGAGGGGCGCAACCTGAAGAAGGTGGAGCAGGACACAGAGACAAAAATCACCATCTCCTCGTAAGGCTCCTTCATTTCCTTCTCTGAGTGGGTGCCCGGCACCGGGGGTGGCAGCATTTCATTACTGGGCCTAAATACATGGATGCAGTTTCTGCTTATTGAAGAGGAGGGGTCAAAGAAGCTGTCAGGAGCATTCGTGGCTATCAGGGCTGGAGCTCTCCCATCACTGCTGTGGCCTGGGGGGCGGTTGGGAGGCCGCTGTCCCTTCAGTCCTCTGCTGCCACATCTCTCACTTGATCGGCATCTGGAGGAGAGAGCCTGAGGCCAGGAGCCAGGGCTTTGGGGTTTCAGGTGCATTTGCCAGGCCAAGGAAAGTGGGCGGACCCAGGTCCTTTTCTGAGCCCTGAGCCCGCGCTCCGTGGGGTGGCCTAGTGCCTCTGTGAGTGCTGTGCCGCTTGATTTTGTCAGACTCACCTGTGGGCAGAGCAACTACTCTGTTCCAGAGGGCACAGAAATGGAATGGATTGCCTGGCAGCACCGCTGGGGAAGCTTCCAGTCTCGAGTGTCCCCCTGGCTCTGCTAATGGCGGAAACCTGGCTGTGCTGGGCATCCTCACCTCCCTGTACCTCTCTCCCTGCCAAAGCGAAAGAGCCTGCAGAAAGGTGCTGCTGTGTCCCCAGCTGGGGCCTGTTCCCCGGTCCCGGCCTGTCTGGGGAAGGTTGACGTTGCTCTGTTCCTCCGCCCCAAGGCTGCAGGACCTCACCCTCTATAACCCCGAGAGGACCATCACCGTGAAGGGGGCCATTGAGAACTGCTGCAGGGCAGAGCAGGAGATCATGAAGAAAGTTCGGGAAGCCTATGAGAATGACGTGGCTGCCATGAGTGTGAGTGCTGGGGACCTCTGCGGACCCGTCTCTGAGCCTGAGCCGCAGCAGAAGCGGGGCCCGGTGGGGCGGGCATCCACGTGCTGGGCGGCCTTGGGGAGCTCACTCTGCATTTAAGTTGAATTAACAGGGAGTCCTCATTTGTTTCCTGGGGTGTGAGCGGGGGGGTCTCATCTTGGGTTTTGAGGGCTGTGATCCTCCTATAAATTTTGTGATTTATGGGCATTTCAGTGGGGAAAGAGTCCACGGTTTTCATCTAGTTTTTAAAAAGGAGTGAGGATGTGGGACACATGACCCAAAAGATGAGTTTCAGACATCAAGGGGGAGATTTGCCCCCTCCCCTCCCGCCTCCCCCCGCGGGAACAGTACAGCACGGGGCCGTGAGTCTGGTCTGTCTCTGTCAGCAGAGTAATCAGCTGAAGAGGAAGGATGTCTGAGGGCCTCACACTGTCAGCCCTCATTGGAGGTGCCGGTTCTTAGTGTGGAAAGAACCCTCAGTGTACATGCAAGTGTCTGAAAACCAGAAGGGCAGGCGGGTTTGGGGTAAAAGCATGTAATTATCCTATTTTGGTCCACTCTCCCAGGGGCACTCACACTCCTGTTCAGCCAGGGCCACGTACAGGGGTCATCAGGCTCTGTCAGAGTGAGCTGACCTCTTCTCCTGACCTTCCTCCTCCAGCTGCAGTCTCATCTCATCCCCGGCCTGAACTTGGCTGCTGTGGGTCTTTTCCCAGCATCGTCCAGTGCAGTCCCACCGCCCCCCAGCAGCGTCACCGGAGCCGCTCCCTACAGTTCCTTTATGGTAGGTGCAGGGTCTTATTACGGGGGAGCCCCTGGGCTGCCTGTGGCCGTGCTTAAGAGTCCACCTCCTTGTGGAAGCCTCATGGTTGGGAATTCGCAGGGAGAGGGAAGTGGGGCCTGGGGATGCACATCGCCGCCCTCCCCTCCCCTCACCCGCCTGCTGCAGTGCTCCCAGTCACTGGCACCAGCCCTTCCGAGTGTCAGCCCTGTGGGTGGCAGCCTCGGGTACTGCCCGGGATGCTAGCAGCACTCTTCCTCTTCCTCCTGCCCGGCTTCTTCCATTTGCCCCTCCTGGACAGAGGGAGAGCTTTGAGGACGCAGGACAGGGCCACGGAGGGGCTTCTGGGCCCTGCCCCTTGGCCATGGTAATAACATGACATGTTTTGGCAGCAGGCTCCGGAGCAGGAGATGGTGCAGGTGTTCATTCCTGCCCAGGCGGTGGGCGCCATCATCGGCAAGAAGGGGCAGCACATCAAACAGCTCTCTCGTTTCGCCAGCGCCTCCATCAAGGTGACCTGCTCTGCCTTGCTTCCATCATGCTCTACTCTGTTCCCAGACACCCTGCCTGGCTAGCGTTTCCCCCTTGTGGTCCCAGGCCCCTTTGCTTTTGACCCCGCTTGGTCCAGTGGAGCACCTTCTGGGCTCCTGGGCTTTTGGGCTAAGGGAGGAGGTGGAATTGTAGCAAAGAAAGAGAGCTTAGGTTCACACAAGACTGACTTAGGTTCAAATCCCAGCTTCTAAGCTACGGGAGCCTCAGTTTCCTCCTCAGTACAGTAGCCGTGATAGTTCTCTGAAATAATGCAGCCACAGCCCCTGGCTTGGTCAGTGCCTTGTGCACAGGGCTTGCTCATTAGATGGTAGCTGTCTTATATCCTCCCTGGCCAGGGCTCAGGGGAGAGAAGGGAGAACCTGTTGGTTTCACAAGGCTAAATCCATTGGTTTCAGTGGTCTGAAAGATTTTAGTCAAATGCAGTGTGTGTTCCTGGTGAAAAAGGCCTCTGGGAGATTCTGTGGGTGGTCACTGCCCTCCCCCGACTGGCCATCTGGCAGGATTCTGTTGAAATCTCCTAGGGGATGAGGGCAGGTAGGGTATGGGCAGGAGCCCCTATTTAGGGAATGTCCAGAACAAATGCACCCATGCCCTCATAAGAGGTTTGGTGAAGGGGCAACAGCCTCGGGGGTCAGGGTCTCTGTTCTCCACTCCCCTGGCCCTCAGTGTTGTGGTAGGGGGTCTGGAGGAGGTGGAGACAGAGGGCATCTCTTTGACCAATGTTTGCTTTGCAGATTGCTCCTCCTGAAACTCCTGACTCCAAAGTTCGTATGGTCATCATCACTGGACCCCCAGAGGCCCAATTCAAGGTTCTGATCTTTATTGTTTCTCCAAGTAGGACCCAGGGAAATTGAGTTTGGGTGGGAGTGCAAATCTGCACCACGTTTTTAAGCTTCCCTGCAAAATATAGGACTGCAGAGATGCTTTCAGATTGTCATTAGACTTAAATCTGTTGGCTTCTCCTTCCCTCTTTACATCCTGATGGTAAATATATGGGGAAGAAGGAAGTCTGATGGCTCTTCCTTGAAGGAAGGCCCTTTTTTTCCCCCTACATGTCCCTACTACATGCCTAGGTTCTTGAACTTCTGGGCAGACAGTCATAGAACTGATAGTTACCTTATCCTGACCTAGACAGGGATGGAGAACGAGGACAGCTCAGTAGGCTGTGCAGAGTGACCAGCGGTCTTCCATCTGAGTGTCTGGACCAGCTGCCACTCAGAGCCATGACTTGATTGCTGGCCACTGCCTCTCCAAACCATGCAAGCATCCCAGAGCCCCCAGGTCTGGCATGTAGCTTAGGTGTTACATTCCTCCAGGGAGTTGTGTTCAGTTGCTGCGCCTTGGCTCCCGGTGTTAAAAGTGAGCAGGAGGGAGACTGACAGGGCAACACTGTGGACCTTTTGTATCACTGGGCCTAGTCGTGATCCACCCCTAAGCAGGGGAGGGCCTGTTGGGTGTGGGGGCTCCCCTTTTGTCATATATGTATATGTGTGGTCCACTGATGTAACAATGACCTCCACTTCTCAGGCTCAGGGAAGAATTTATGGAAAACTCAAAGAGGAGAACTTCTTTGGTCCCAAGGAAGAAGTAAAGCTGGAGACACACATCCGGGTGCCAGCGTCGGCAGCTGGCCGGGTCATCGGCAAAGGTGGCAAAACGGTGAGCCTTGAGGGCCAGGTTGAAAGTTCTAGGCATTAGTCCCCAAACCCAACAGCTCTCCTGGCGCCTCCTGCTCCCCGACCCTGCTCAACCTTAGACCTCCCCCGATTTGCCCAATTAATTGATTGTCTCCTAGCCCCAGCTTCTAACTTCTCCAGTTTCTACCTGCTGGTGACCTGCCTCTTGCCCCTCCCTCCAATCCGATCTGTGGTTCCTTGACAGCACCCCGAGCTCCTCTCTGACCTGTCCTCCCTGCCCACACTCCTGTCCCCAGGTGAATGAGCTGCAAAATTTGACTGCAGCTGAGGTGGTGGTGCCAAGAGACCAGACCCCTGATGAGAACGACCAGGTCATCGTCAAGATCATCGGGCATTTTTATGCCAGCCAGGTACCTAAGGTCCTTCCCCATCACAGGAGGGCAGAAGGACCCCAGGGACCAGAAAAGCAGGACTGCAGAAGCATGACCTTGACAAGTCCTGGGGACTCTGCCTGCAAACGATTTGACAATTTTCATATATAGTATATGTTATGCATAGTAACTGTTATATATTATATGTTGTATGTTAATAGTGACCCCTGTTTAACCTTAGTCCTCCCTTTTGCACTGGCTAAGAAGAGAAACTGGTATTACCCACCACCCAGTGTTGTTCGTGGAACATGTCAACGTCCTGGATTGCCTATTTTCAGCACAGTCCTTCACCTCTCCCAGGACGACTGCTCCATCTTGCTTCCAGTTCTTCCCCCTCCTGTTTTTATTCTGGAACTCCCCGTCTCTGCACTGCCTCCACTGAGACAGCACTGCCCAGCATTGGGACTGACCCCAGAGCCTAGAAAAGAGGACAGATACCAGGTTAAAATTTTAGGATGATTAAAAGCTGGTGGGGTTTTCCTAAAACCCCCAGTGTTGGAGCCAGAAAGGGTATAGAGACTATTGGATACAACCACTTCCATTCATAGAGGACAAACATATCAGAGCTGACTTGTGATGGCCTGAGACTCCTCCAGCAATCAAGAGCAAAGCAGGAACCCAGACCCCAGTGGAGCGTGGCTGCCCAACATCAGCGACTTGGGTTTTGGAACCAGAAGGCTTGGATGAGCAGCTTTCTCTGACGGCCCTTTGAGAGCCATTAATAACCACAAAATATCTTAGATTTATGGGTGCTTCTGATACACCAAGCAGTGTTCCGTGTGGCCTCTATTAAGGCCTTTAATCCTTGTAACAACCTTATTTTACAGAAGAGGAATATGAAATTTAAGAGGTAAATGATGTAGCCAGGAATTCATGGAGACAGGCTGTATTATGTACAGACGGAGAGATGTTTTTCATTGGTTACGATGAGAACTAGATGAAAACCCATGTAAAACATGAAGCACGGGGCTGATGGGGGGAATTAATATATAAATATTAACTTCACATTATTTCCTCAACCTGCACCCACTGTCCCTTTTTTAATTTTAATTTTTTAATTGAAGTATAATTGATTTGCAGTGTTGTTAGTTGCAGGTGTACAGCAAAATGGTTCAGTTATATGTACATATATACGTATAGGTTCTTTTTCAGATTCTTTTTCATTATGTTATTGTAAGAAATTGAATATAGTTCCCTATGCTTTACAACAGGTCCTTGTTTATTTTATATGTAGTTTGACTCACTTTCTCTTTAACCAAGAAACCAAGTGCTCAGTTTATGGAAAGGAGACATTCTGGTAAATTTCTGTCAAGTGAATCCCATTTTGCAGTTGATTTCCCATATAGAACTTTCACTTATAAAAGTGAAGAAACCTTTAAGAAGGAAAGAATAAAGATATCAGCCCTTTGGGGGTTTTTTGGGTCCATTTTCACAGTGGAGCTTATTTCACTGCCGTTTGGTTTTCTCAGCTCCAGGCATTTCTTTCGTCTTCTTTCCTGGGACATTTCCATGCGTAGTGAGTGGACTTGTGATTGGTGACAAGGTCTCCTGATTTTTGACCTTTTGACAACACACACTCGTGGAACCTCTGGGAATTCTGCCTTGGGTTCAGTCCCATGTGTCAACTTTGTCCGTTTTTAATCGTTGTCATGTTTTAAATTGTGATGAATGAGTTCGTATTACTGTGCTTCCCCCTCCTCCATATGAATCCAGTGCTCAGGGTCTGTTTGGCGGCATGAAACTTAAGGTCACTCTAACCTTCAATCTTCTGTCTTCTTTTTTTTAAACAACACAACAAATCCACACTTTCATTTTTCAATAAGTTTAAATCCTTGAGGAGGGGTATGGCATCACATGGATCCTGTGCCCAGTGGCCTCGGAAGGAAGGTTGCTTCTTGGATTTTGCACGAACCATGCCACTATTTCCATGAGCGAAAGTTACCTTTCCCCATATTGCTCTGGTTTTGTTTGATTTTCCACCAGGAGTTACTGTGTTGGTCTTTACTTTGTACCCATAAGCACACACCTCTTGCCTGAATAGAATTCGGTTTCATCTCGAGCGTAAACACCTTCGATTTTAAGAAGAGCTGTGTGCTGGTTCAGGAGACCCTGCATATAGCGAACAAAAAAGACCTTCAACCACAGACATTCATCGTTTTAGGGTCCCGTTCCCAGCAGACCTCCTTGGGCTCCAAGTTGGCTGAAAGAGATCAATCTTCTAAGTCCCACGTGACCTGTGGTGTTTGTGGTCGGTGTTGGATCCTGTTGTCCTCTCTCCCCATGTAGGGCTGTCTCCTTGCCTTTGGAGATCCTCCCCTCACCTCTCGGCCTGTTCTTTCTGCAGATGGCTCAGCGGAAGATACGAGACATCTTGGCCCAAGTCAAACAGCTGCACCAAAAGGGACAGAGTAACCAGGCCCAGGCTCGGAGGAAGTGACCAGCCCCCTCCCGTCATGTCGACTCAAGGACAACAGGCTGAAATCGAGAGCATGTTCTCCCCAGCAGGCCTGAGAATGAGTGGGAATCAGGGACACTTGGGCCGGGATGTGTGTAGATCAGGTTTGCCCACTTGGCTTGAGAAAGATGTTCCAGTGAGGAACCCTGATCTCTCAGCCCCAAACACCCAACCAATTGGCCCAACACTGCCCACCCCTCAGGGTGTCACCGTGGAAATTCTAGCTCAGGGTGCTTTTAAACGTGGATTGTTTAAGTTCTCCAAGTCCCACCAAGAGGGTGGGTCAGACCCCAGTGGGAAGAGAAATAAAATTTCCTTCAGGTTTTTAAAACATGTAGAGGGGTGCTTTGATCAGCCTCAAAGGATGGTTTTCTTCTTGACCCTGAAATCCTTCCAGCCTTGTCCTACTTGGTTTTATTGATTAAAATACCTCTATTCTCGTGCCCTGACATAGCCTCTTCCTACATTCACGCTGTCCTGTCTTAACCGCTGCCAGCAGAAGTGGGAACCAGTGCATTGCTTTCCTTACATTATTGATTCAAAGGGAGAAGACACGCCAGCATCTGCAGTTTAATTCCAATCCCTTCCTAACCAACCAGTAGGCACAACAAGGAATAGAGAGAGAATGGGGGAGAAACATGATTAAAATTTATAGTAATCCACGTTTAAAAGGAGTGCCCTTGTGGCTGATCTAGTCCAGATCACCACCTTGAAAAATTGGCACAGGTGAAATTTGCCCCTCTGTTGGGGCTTCCCCACAAGATTCCTCACCCCATTCATGTCCCTCTAACCATGTGAGTCCCACCTCATGTCCAGGTGCACCTGGGTGGTGCTAAGTGCTCAGCAGGGTGGGGCCGACCACTGTACTGTCCCTGATTCCCATCATTCTCAGGCAGATTTTATATTTTTTTAAAGTCTATTTTAATGATTGGATATGAGCACTGGGAAGGGGATACTAAATCCCCTTGATAAAGTCTCAGTTCCATGGAGGGCTTGAGTGACCCTAAAGGCTGCCACTGTGCCCTCACCCCGGCCCATGTGCTCCCAGAAGGGCTGGTTCCCAGAAGCAGGGGTTGCGGGGCACTCCCCCCCACGGCACTGTTCCCTTGGTGGTGGTGGGACGTGGAACCCGACCCTCAGCTCCTGATAAAGCTGAAGTCCATCATTTGGCATATATTATGAATATTCAGTAACTTGGAGAGTATTTGCTTCTGTTTTTATCCTAGAGGCATATTTAACTGATGGCTTCTGTCTCCACGAGTCATTGGCATGATGTAATGTGTGCCTAAAAAAAGAAAACCAACAAAATTCAAAATACCAGCAACATTATGCACAGAGGGGTAAATAAGCTTAATTTATTTTCCAGGCTCAGTAAGATCCCGTTTTTCTAAGTTCAGCCCTTGTGGAAGACATCAGCCATCAGTTAAATGAGGTTAGGCCTCCCCTCCTAATGTACTGATTGTCAGTGCATGTGAGCCAGGTGGTGCACTTTAGCTACCTTGGACAATGCTATCAAGTGTGCTGGGAAGGGAGGAAGGCCTCTCTGCATGTGGGAAAGCCCGTGCTTGGACTCCCCTCCTTCCGACATTGCAACAACTGCAGTAACAACAAGACAACCATGACGTGGGCGGAGTCAGTCAGGTAATGCTGTGCGCGAAGTAAACTACCTCAAGGTATGAAGTTACCTCAGCAATTACTTTCCTCTTTGTTCCCCCCACCTCTTTTTTTAATCTTTTTTTCTTTGCGGCTTGCTGATATTTTATATAAAAAAAGAAAAAAGAAAAGCAAAGCAAAAGAGAAGCTGATAGTCTTGAATATTTTATTTTTTTAATGAAAAGAAAAAAAAAACGAGAAAGTTATGTTTCATAATTTCTTACAACATGAGCCAGTGTAACCCTTTAGGAGCTCTCTATGGAGAACAGGCCCTGTGGGAAAGGCAGCCGGGGCTGCTCCTTGGGAGGAGGCTGGGCTGAGCGGGAGGGCCGAGCCGGAGCGCCCAGGGCCAGGCTCTGCTCGCCGGCGCCGGCCTCTCCCGGAAAGCCCTGCCCGCTGGGGCCAGCAGGCCTCGCACAGCTGTGGCCCCCAGCCGCCTCCAGCACCCGGCCTGTGGTCTCCCCTCCCGCCTTGGGTTCAAGGGGCACCCCAGTCGGTTTTTCCCACCAGTGGTGCTGTTGAGATATTTTAAAATATTGCCTCCGTTTTATCGAGGAGAGAAATAATAGCTAAAAAACATACCCTTAAAAAAAAATCTATACTTCTCTGTCTAAAAATATGGGAGCCAAGATTCCATTGGTGGAAGAGACAAAGCCACCCTCTCACCCTCAGAGAGGTCCACCTGGTTTGTCGTTGACATGCTTTTCATTTTTTGTTATTGTTGCTTCATTTCAGTCCCATCTTGCGATTCTTGGTCTTTATCAGTGGACCAAGGGGCAAACAGATAATTGGATAACTGCCCCCTCTGTCTCCCCGTCTTTAGATTGATCGGATTGATTCTAACAGTGGACCCAAATGTACAAATTCTTGACTTAGGGTGGTGGGTGGCAAGGAGGGGCAGGGGATATGGAAATGTGACTTGGGGACAGGTTCTTGCCTCATTTATGTCTTGTCACTTTCTCCCCGTGACATTGCTTTTAGCCCCAGAACTGTCCACCCCAAAGAGGAGGGAGCAGGGAAGCGTTTAGGGGTGATATCAGGCCAGTATAATTAAGCTCCCCACCTGTTCAAACCACAGAAAAGGGTCTCCCAACTTCTATCTCTGGCTCTATATGCTTTATTCCAAAACGAAGCAGATAACGTTCAGACATCGGCCATTTAGTGATTTAACGTGAATTTTCAGCAGCAAGCATGCTTTGATATCTGGTTCAAACTACCATCAGAGTAAAGCCCCCCACAGTATCTGAAATGTGATTGTTGCAGTGTTCAGTTTCCTTGGGATCCTGCTCCCTTCACACCTTAAGCCCACGTCCTTTCCCTTTGGCTGATTCAGCTCCCCGAAGAGACCAGGAGTGAGGCAAGGGACTGTCAGACTTGACTTGGATTAGGCACGGCTGATATTTGCCCAGCAGGAAAATTTTGAAAGTTATACAACAGAAAGCAAAGGAATATGGTTTGGTGGTTAAGGTTTAGCAGGAGGAAGGGCCTGTCTTTGACCTGTAGGCTTGGTCTTGGGGCAGTTCATGCCCCTGCACATCACCTCCATTTCCCCATCTTTGGCGAGATAACAAGTTAACGTGAAAAGCACTTGGGAGATTTGGATGATCTGAGAAAAGCGACTTTAAAAAGACAGCTTCTGTGCTCTAAGATGTGTGTGAGCTACATACTACATACATATATTTTTAAGAAAGGACCATCACTTTAAGATATATTTTTTAATTCTGTGGAACACGTGAAAAACCAAAATGGTTTGATTCCCTGATTTTGAAGCTGCATCTGACAGTGACACCCAATGGCTTGAATCCCCTTGAGGTTCTGGTTGCCTTTTGCAGTGTGGGTTGTGGACTTGGCTCCTAGAAGGGGTCTGGGGAGGAGAGAGCTGTTTTGAGGGGCATGGAGTTTCATCGCCTCCTCTTCACTTCCCTTCTTTCTGCCAGTCCTTCTCAGTCCTTTTTCCTTTACCCCGAGCTCCCCACTTCTGGGGGTGGTTGGGAGCTTTCCTCTTAGTTATGCCTCACTACTGGCAGAAAGGACCCCGTGTAAAACCCAGAGAACTCTGGAGGGGAACACTCCAGTAGGTTCTATGTGTCCGTTTTCCTCTGTGCCAAAGACAGACAGACAGACAGAGGCTGAGAGACGCTGTTTCTGAATCAAAGCAATAACCATCTTTCGACATCTACCTGGGCTGTCTGAGAGGGGGAGGGCTCCCCGGAAACAGTGGGCTAAAGACACGTCCCTCCCCTCCTGAGGCTCCTGGGGGATGTGGGGGCCTATGTGCCAAGGGGTAAAGAGCTGAGAAGGGGGTCTGATGGCTCCTGGTTGCACTTTGGGGAAGGAGGGGAAGTTTGGGGCTCCTCCGCGTGGGACTGCGCTCCGTCCCCTGCCCCACTGCAGAGATAGCACGGCGAGTTCTCTTCAGGCCTGGCAGACTGGCGATGAGGAGGGGCCTCAGTTAGCTCTCAAGGGTGCCTTCCCCTCCTCCCACCCCAGACATACCCTCTGCCAAACTGGGAACCAGCAGTGCTATGTAACTACCTCACAGAGCCCCCGAGGGACTGCCTCACTTCCCGGTTCTCTCAGCCCTTTCCTCCTCCCTCCCACTTGGGTGGGGACACCCTTCTCTCCCCTGAAGTGTTCATGGGGAGATCCTAGTGGCTTTGACATGCAAACCATGCCAACTTTTGCCTATTTGTTGAAAAACTGGTAGAAGGAAAACAGCACAGCCTGCCCCAGGAGCTGCAGGAAGATGGAAGAAAGCTTCTCAATGCCAGGGGACGTAAAGCCATTCCCTTTCCAACTCTTGAGATTTTAGATGCAGAACTTTTCTCTTGTATTCAGACTTAGGGCAACACCAGCTAAAAACTTGGGATGCATAAGGCTTCTCTATTGGGGTACAGGACAGGGAGGAGGCCTCGTGACCGAAGGTGGATTTAGAAGAGGAGGGCCAGAGCCCCCACCCTGACCCTTGGCCCTGTGCACCTCTTCGGGGGCACAGTCTGACGGCACCACGACTGGTGTCTTAGTATGGTTGAATCTGGATGGACAAGACAAAAGAAAGACTTTTTTTGTAAATGAAATAGCAGGAAGCTCCTCGGGGGCATGTGTTTCGAGTAACCACAGGTGATGGATGCTTTGAGAGTAAATGGATGAACTACCTCAATCCTTACAGTGAGATTGGAACCAAGAGCTGGGATTCGTGCGTGAGGGTCTGGATCCCAGCCAGGAGGAGTGAGCTGAGGCTTGTGCCGCGAAAGGTTTGTCCTTGAGGAACAGGCCTGCCTGCTGGGACCCCTACTCATCGGGTGGGTTGGGCGGGGCTGGCTGTCAGGTCCCCTTTTCTGCCCTCCTTGCCCTGGGGTCCCATGCTTCACCTCTTCCCTTCAGCTTGTCCCTCTCTCACCTGCGATGGCTTGTTTGGACCAGAGGGTGAGGAGAGGAATTGCCTTCTCTCTTCTACCAGAGGGGGCTGGCTGGAGGTGAGATGTGGGGCTTGGCCTGGAACCCATTACTCAGCCCCAAAGCCAGGAAGCCTGGGGAAGCCAGAGCTAAGACCTCTTCAGCAGGGTTTCTTTGAGATGCTCCACGTCCTCTGTACCCCCTTCCCAGTCTTCACGGGGACAGTTGTCTCTAGAAGGAGAAGAGGTGGAGCAGGATCCTTTATCCTGAAAGTCAGAGGGCCCAGCCCTCTGGTCGCTCAGGAGTCTTTGTAGTCGGGGAGTCCACTGGGCAGTCCCAGCCCCTCCCCACCCTCTAATGGACCTCCTCATAGAAGCCCCATTTCACTTTTGTTTTATCTACCTCTTAGCAAGACAATAGAGATAAATTAGGTAGTGGCAACTCCACTTGCTTAGATTAGGGGGGGAAAAAGATTTCTTTTCCAAAGGAAAAAAATATTAACCTTAAAAAAAAACAACTTTACCAAAAAAATTTAAAAAAAAAACC